AGGTAACATGAACGCGCAGCGTTATATCCACGAAGTTCTAGAACCCCATCTTTTACCCTATCTTGACACCCTGGCAGATCCAACTTTCCAACAAGATAATGCCCGACCACATGTTGCAAGAGTCACAATAGACTTCTTTCAACATAATGATGTCACATTGTTACCATGGCGACCAAGATCTCCCGACTTATCCCCAATTGAGCACGTGTGGGATATGATGGGTAGGAGATTGCTCAATTTGCAACGTCCTCCTCAGATTCTAGAAGCACTTCGAGAGGAGTTGGTGGTTACCTGGAATGAGATACCACAGGAGGATATTGACCACCTGATCAGAAGCATGCCTAGGCGCGTTGGAGAATGCGTAGCACATCAGGGTGCATCCACACATTATTAAAGGTCAAAGGGCTTTAAAGCAGTGCAATCATTTTGAAATTTTTATCATTTACTTATTATGCTTCATTAAGTACTTATACAAAATTTTATTAAAATAAAACCATTTAAACTGGGTGTCCGGATTTATATGTCACTTAGTATACAACATGCAGATGATCAAGTCAAGTTGATCAGTTCTCCCTGTAGCTAAGTTGGTTTCAGGGACTTGGACATAACGAACTGTACATTTATCCTAGGAAATATTGAAGCGCCGATTTGGGCAGCTTTTCCTGAGGGAGGCAAAATTGTTTGTTATCACTTTGCCACAAAAACAGAAATTCGTCGATTTGTGACTCTAAGATGCCAACAACGTCGCCAATGAAGCACGTACTTAGGCAATATATTTTTGTACCTAATAATCTGTGGTCTTTTTAAATGCTTGTCAGTGAGTCATATCAGTGATTCATTAGTAAAGCGTATCGTGATATTTGGAGACTAATAATAGTAAAATCCACATGTAATGTTTCTCTATTTAAGAAAAGCGCTTCTTTCTTGTTGTTGTTATCATTCATTCTTTTTCGCCCTAGATAATAGGTCCTCTACGAACATACCTGCTAATACATTAATTTTGGCTCCACTGCCATTAGTAGCAAGGTTAGAAAGCTGCCATATATTTCAATAGTTTGTCTACAGCAGCTGGCGACGACGAAGAGTTAAGAATAGATATACGAATTTTCATAAAGACCACGATCTTAATCTGAGATCAGCTGTCCATCTAGGAACGTCTCTGAATCTGCAGCTGCAAACACCGTCTCCGCTTATGTGTGGCCACTCTTGACGATTTTCCCGACTACCGGATCATCCGACTTTTTCCATTCACTTTCCTACTACCGAAGAGAGCGACTTCTTTTTTCTCAAATCGCTGATATATTTCGGGGATGGGCTGGGAACACTGTTTGACTGCGAAAACGCTACGGCGATCGGGCTATTGATTTCACGTGGCTTACACCAACAATGACTCTTTTATGGACCAGATATTCGCGTGTCTATGAGCTAGAAAAGCAGACAATGTAGAAGTGGTTACAAGGTTGGGGTTCTTCGATTGTCAGGGGCGGATCTAGAGTATACGTTATTACGATTCAAACTTTAAAAGAGAAAAGGCTCTATAAGTTTGGTTATGTCCAAGGAAAAAGTTATCTAGGTACATGTATAAAGTGTGGATCAAATATATTCAAAAGACTTGAATGTAATCAAAAGTTGTCTACGTATGTTCACTTATGTAAAGACTGTTTCCAAATAAATTTTTGCTTGCAAATCAACCATATAAATAGAGAGTGGCACACCCCGGTGAAAATGCAGAAAAGCTTTTTTGCCGATTTTTTAACTCTTCACGTGATTGATTCAACCTTTTCGCTGGCATAGCACAAAGAACTGAAGTCAAAGCTGGACAACTTTCAACCAGAAGTTTCTTCATGGTCAGCTTCAGGAAATGGACAGCCCACGACACTTGCTGGTTAACCTTTCACTCTCCACTCAAGCTAAGAGTCACGAAAGACAGATCGAAAGCGTGCTTCGCTGTCATCTTTTTGGCATTTTCAATGAGAAAACATCTTTCAGAGATAAAAAGAGACTTCTTAAGAAAAGGTACTATTTAGCTGTTAATAAAACCAACTAAAGATTTGAAAGTACTTTCTTATGATTGAAGATATTTAAACGATAAAGAAGATTCGTCGTTTCAAGGTTTCAAATCAAAGCGTCTTACACCTTTTTAACATATTGCTGTAAAAACTTCAGATACGGGGATTCACTAACGTCTGAATATTTCCAGAAAAAAGAAATGTTGTTAGATCCTTAGTTCATTTTCTCAACAGCTTTTGTTTATTATATTTTAATTTTAAGTGCTGATTATGTCAAATAACTAGTCTGGTAATTTCTACAGGGTTATCCAAATTAAGTGTCCACCATTAGTAACTTTGTTATTAGTGAAAATACAAAGTTGTTTGAATTAGCAAACTAGTAGCATTTTTAACGCTGGTAAAAATGAGAAATAAAAAAAAACAATTGAGAGTCGTTATTTTGATTTTTTTCAGTAAAATAACATTTTTTTAAATGGAAACCCCTGTATATTATATTTTTTTCTGTTAAAGCATCAAATTTTAAACAAAAAAGCTTACAATAACTTTTCTCCTAGGTTACAAATTGTTGAAGTTATGGCCTCCAATCTGAAACAATTAAATTGTATCGACAAACTTTATTTTCAACATCAACTTATAATCTTACAAAATACAATAACAATTTTTTTTAAAGAAGATGCTCGAAAACATCACCTTGTTCTTCAATACATTTTTGGGCACGTTTTTCAACTGCTCGAACTGTCTTAAGTATGGTCCTATCTGGGTTATCTTTTCCCTAACTGCAGTCTTTAACGCGTCAAGGTTATCGTACCTTCGCTTGTAAATTTGGTTCTTTAAGTAACCCCACAAGAAGTAATCAAGTGGGTTTAGATCTGGTGATCTGGGAGGCCACTGTATTGGGCCATTTGTTCCTATCCACTGATCATTAAAAGTAGTACTTAGAAAATGATAAGTACCTCTGGAGTTGTGGGCAGGTGCGCCATCTTGCTGAAAATGCAGATGATGTCTACTTATAAGATCCAATTCGTCTAAGAATATAGTCAGAATTTCTGACATAAATTCCACATATCTTTCACCAGTTAGGGTTCCCTCATAAAAGAACGGGCCAACAATTTTTGAACCAATTATACCGCACCAAACGTTGAAACTGAAACGGACTTGTGGGCCTCTTGGATGTACTAACAAAAGATTTTCTCTTGACCAATAATGGTGGTTTTTTCTATTAAACATTCCAGAATTTGAAAAAATTGATTCATCTGTCCGTAAAAGGTAACGAAAGTTATTTACATTTTGGCGACAGAAGCTAAGATACCAATGGCAAAAAACAAGTCTTCTCTCTGGATCCCCTGCCAAAAGCGTTTGAACTGGTCGGTACTTATACGGAATAAATTTGTATTTTTTTAAAATCCTTTGAACAGTACCATAACTGAAATTAGAGTCCTTGAGAATATCTGCTATTGAATTCTCACGATAAGCTTCAAAATATCCAATAACTGCAATTTCCGTGGCCTCGCTTATTATGAATTCTTTTTTTGCCCTTGTTTTAGCAAAAACATTTTCGTTGCCCCTAAATTTTCGATAAAGTCTCAGAAAATATCGTTCATACGGTTGAATGCGAGCGGGATATAATTCACTGTAGTATTCTCTTGCTCTCAAGGAGGATTTTCTGCACACTAAATAGCATTCTAACATATCACACTTTTCTTCATGGGAGAACATTTTTCTTTAAATTAATGACACAATAAAGCTTATAAACAAGTATTTACACTAATGTTTGACATTATTTGATTTTATAATTGTTTTCCAAAGCCTTCTAGTTGCGAGTATATCCAGTTTAACAATTTGTCGCTTATCTTAATGCTGTCAAATCGCGAACGCCATGTTGTTTTCATAGCCGTCTTAATATTATAATACTGCAAATAATTAAAAATATTTATCGTTATTTTGACTTTATTTTTGACTTTAGCGGAAAAGTCATTATGAACTTTTTTGTTTAAAATTTGATGCTTTAACACAAAAAAATATAATATACAGGGGTTTCCATTTAAAAAAATGTTATTTTACTGAAAAAAATCAAAATAACGACTCTCAATTGTTTTTTTTTATTTCTCATTTTTACCAGCGTTAAAAATGCTACTAGTTTGCTAATTTAAACAACTTTGTATTTTTACTAATAACAAAGTTACCAATGGTGGACACTTAATTTGGATAACCCTGTATATAGTATCTCATTTCACTGGTATGATACAATTTCGGTGGATAAAAATATAACGCTATATCGATATTTTGCGACGACCGCCGTATGGAATTTAGAATATTATGTGTTTATTGTGTTTCACTCATCAGGCCCTTTTTTACCGATATGCCAACGGGTTTTGCTCCTCGGAGCTGTCTGTGCCTGCCAGTTTTGTTGTTTTGCAGATGCAAAGTATGATGAAGCTTATTGAACAACTAGTCGGCCTTTTGTCTGAAAGTTTATTTTGTATGACGACATATTGATGTCGTTCATTTAAATAGCAATCTATCCATTCCAGAACCAAGTCGTCACACCCAATGTATTTACATTTAGAACCTAACAGCTTATGATTCAGGGTGTCAAAAGCCTTGCTGAAATCCAATAAGACTAATGCAGTTGCTTCTTGCCTATCCGCCGCTGTTAGTACATCGTCACAAACCCGTGCCAAAGCAGTAGTGGTACTGTGACCCTTTCTAAAGCCTGATTGATTTAATGGCAAAATGCTGCGTTCGAGTAAATACTCATTCAACTGCATATAAACTATTTTTTCTAGAATTTTTGATAGAGCTGACAGCAAGCTAATAGGTCGGAGATCACCAGGAACTTGGGGATTGGGAATCTTTGGAAGAGGTTGCACTAATGCTTCCAAGCACTTGGAAAAACACCGCGCTCTAAACAACAATTTATTAAGTGCAAAATGTATATTCCTACAGCAGGTAGACACAATTTAATCATCTCAATGGTAATGCCATCAATACCACTAGAATTGGACTTGATACTGCGAATAGCATCCAATACTGTAGATATATCGACAAGACGGAACTGAAAATGAAAATCTTGGTTTAATTTGTTATGGCTATAAAATTCGATAGTTTCCTAGCAGTCATCGTCACTTTTCTGGAATATACTGGTAAAATAGTTATTTATTTCATTGGGAACTGCTTAATCATCTGGAATGTCAGTATTACTAGAATCCTGAATTCTAAATGACTTAGGAGCTTTATAAAGAGCTGCAGAGTTTCTTTGTCGAGATAGATGTTGAAGGTAGCCTGATTTCTCTGCACGTGTAGCAGTTTTTGTAAAATTTCTCAGTTCATTGTTCGCATCCGTTCGAGACCGTCTATATTTATGAAAAGCCTTATCTCGTTCTTTCATTATCATTTTCAAATTGTTTGTGAGCCATGGTGCACGAGGCTTAGACACTCTCACTGTTTTTAGTGGTGCATGTATGTCAAAAAGTCCTACAATGTTATCGGAAATAAATTTTACTTTCTCATCGATATTAGCCATATAAATAACTTCAGCCCAATTAACGCTAAATAAGTCATCGTCAAAAGAGGTTAGATCAAAATTGCGATAGTGTCTAAATGTAATTAGTCTAGGTGGTGGTTTATTGTTTTTACACGAAATGTGACACAATACAGCCTGATGGTCACTAAAGTTAACAGTGAAAGTTCCCACTTTGGAACATCTTTGTGCACAGTTGAAGAAAACCGGATCCAAAAGCGTTGAAGAATGATCAATTATTCGAGTTGGTTCATTCAATAACTGGTGCAGGCTGTAAGATTGAAAGCACTGATTAATCTTATTATCAATAAAGAAATTAACGTTGAGGTCACCAAGTACCAAGATGCATTCATTAGACGGTGCTAAGATGGACAACGTATTATCTAATATACTTACTGCAACATCCAAACTTTCCCGAGGCGGTCTATAAATAACACCAACTACAATACATTTACGGCCAATACGAACCTTGAGCCAAAGTATTTCTAGAGAAGTACGACCATATTCCTCAAACGATAGAATTTCTGATGAAAAACGATTTTTGACATAACAGCCAACCCCACCTCCGCGACTACCACGATCACGACGATGGAAGTTATAACCAGAAATATCTACTGAACTTGTTGGAATATCTGAAGACAGCCATGTTTCTGTAACAGCCACTACATCGAGATCCATATCATTAACCATGAAAGAAAGGTCCGCCATTGAAGGAAGAATTGATCTGGTATTAGAGTGAACAAATTTAATAATGTCAGCCATAGTTAATTCTACTTCTCAAATTGTCAAAATGGCTTTTAAAAACAGCACAACAGCTAGAGTAAGACGCGTGATCAGTTGCTAGACCTTTCTTACTGGTTTTGTTAACATTAAGACAATTTATGCATTGGAAAACAGATGATTTACAATCTTTAGCTTTATGATTTTGGGAGCATTTTGGACATACAACATTAGATTTGCAGCTTATATCGGTATGACCATAACCACAACACTTAAAACACTTCAACACACGTATATGATCACTTACAGGCGATTTCTTCCATCCGATGAACAGGAAACTTTTCTCTAACAAGATATTCCTAAGATCAGGAGATACTTCTATGACGATATTTGTGCTCTCGTAATGCTTAAGTTTGGTAACGAATTTTATGTCAGACTGATGCGTGTCATCAATACTGTTTAAGGCTACAATATTATTGATTATCGATTCGGGCGAATCCAGACCGTCGGGGTTAACGTTTTTGATTAGGAGACGTGGATTAAGTTCTCTAGCTTCCATGATTGAATATTTGGACCCAAGCTCTTTATCCAAACTATTCTTAAGAACCGTAAGTGACTTCTCATCTTGACAGTGAACTGCAAATCCATTTCTTATTTTGTGCGTGTTATTAATGCAAACATTAATTTTAGGATTTACTGAAGTTGTTACATCCCGCAGAATATCGTTATTGCCAGAGTTACTGTCAGACTTGATTAGCAAGACAGAAGACCTGTTCGGTATTTTTTTGACTGCATCGCTAAAGCTTAGCGTTGAGGAAGCAGTTGATCTCGAAGCTAGAATAACTGAATTCATAGTGGAATGAGCTGTGCTCTTTGAAATTCCAGGTTCGTTAGAGCAACTTTGTAGTTGCTTGCAGTTTTTTATTTATTACGTTCAAAGTAATCGAGATCGTACTCGAACAGATCGCTCACCGCAGTGTTGCCGCTGCTTGTATTTATTATGAGAATTTACAAAATTTACGAAAGCTTCTATGATTTTCACGCCTTTTTAAAATATGTTGCGAGCCACCAGAATTGCCTTTGCGAGCTACCGATTGCTCGCTATCGACGGGTTGGCGACCACTGACTTAAGGTATTGAGAATAGCTTATCGCAAAAAGTGAGATTTATAAATTTATTGAATGAAGAATATATTTCGTAGGATGCAAATAGATGATATATATCCCCACCATAAATGAAAATGCGAATTCATTTAAATGGGGTTATCTATCTGACGACACCGTATTTATTTACAACAAATGAGATCAGCCGTATTTAGAGGCCGTTTTTGGTGTCATCTGTTATCTCTCTCTATCTCTTCTCTATCATTTATTCGCCTTGTCTAGCTGTCTTCTCTTTCTATAACTACTCGTTGGCTGTACTAAAGAGAATCAACTATAAACGGGTAAGGACAGACATATTGAGTAAAAGAGTATAGATAGTACAAAATACGCCACTCCATCATTCAGTAGGTATTTTAGATAGGAGTAAATGTAGTTCCACCGATTAGCCTTCTAACATATTTTATATACATATGATACTTTTAGGTTGGCAAGTACTTCCCCTTTGTTCTTTCAATACAATACGTAGCTAAAGTCAGAATAAATTAGTTGTTTCAACTTTACGCTATTTTCTTGCCAAATGTTTTCCTCGCTCACAACGATAGTAGTGCAGTTAAAATAGGTATGCTGTAGTTCTCTATACATAGAACATCGACTCTAAGCTGTTCCACCAGTAGTTTCTTAAATATATAAACACTCCAGATAGGGAAGTTGGTACCCCATTAAATCGATATGTGGGTCCAATATGTCATAGTTGTTTGACATCTATTTACGTTTTCATCACCATCTCAATGAGCCTGTTTGCCAACGTTAAAATTTTATCACGTGTGCACTGTCGCCAAAACTTCCACGGATTAAATATTCCTTCGAGAAGCAAACTAAAAAGTGTTAAGGACTATACAGTGTGTCCGCCTATTGAGTGGCATATCAGAAAGGTTTTTTTGTAGATATCCATATTTTTTGTTAAATATGTTGATAGACCAGAATATATCTGTATTTTGTCGGTTTTTCAACAAATATCTTGTCTAAAGGACATGAAAGTATATCAACGTGTTTTTTTAATAAATAGACTGACAATGTTGCACTTTTAAGTGGACTCTCCTAAATCTCTTGCATAACTTCCATGTATGTTAAAACAATTTAGAAATAGTGGGATTTAAAATGGAAGATACACAGCGTGTCATATTGAAATGTTTTGAGCAACAATCAATAAATTATACTTTTTGAGAACCCTATATACCTAACAGACTTAAACAATTCATGGACTGGATAAACTAGGTATCAACTGAAGACTATATTCTTGTTAAAGAAAAATCAGTTCTCAGATATCATAGTTTCATTTTCAACACAAAATACATAACCATTATCTCAAAATTAACGAAATGATTCACAAATATAGGTCTTTTCACGGTTTTTGGAGGGTCACAGCAAAACTACAAGAATTACTTTCATACAGCCATCTTCCTCAAACATGTGTGGAGGTTTGTTTGTATGAACTCAGACATACATTTTTTAGTCCTCTTCTACTGGCTTGAACATTATTTCGTCAACCTATGATGTTTCTACATTTATCTGTCACTGTCAGTGTGACAAATTGCGTGTCATGGGCGTGTGATTTGTCTTTACCCATGATCATTTTCGATATGAAGCATAGTAATGTCTGAAGATACAGCTACAACGTTGACAGTATGTATTGGAAAGTATTCTCAGAAAGTAAGTGAAAACAACGGTCCTCTATCACTCAATTCATGTATGTGTCCAAGAGCGAGTAGCAGCTACGTTTTGGATGGGCTTTGTTTGTTCAATTATTTCATATAATATTGTTATGTACCTGCTGAAAACAGTGAAAAGAACCATATGTATATCTATCTAAATAGATGGGCGTCTATCAAAAAAATCAATTTGTTTTTCAAGTCAAATCCCCTGTATAATCCTAAATATTACTCAATGTGTTCCAATAGTAGTAATCAGTAGGGATTATAATAAGAACGTAAATAAATGTTAAACATCTATTACATATCGTGATCTGGGCAATAATGCGCAGCAATAGGGTACAGACTGCCCCCACTTGGAGTCCATGTATCTCGGAAACTACAAGCGGAAACATGTTTAGCCCATGGGATTAATATGCGTACGAGTTGAAGTTTACAACATTCTTATTTGAAAAAGTAGCTGGAAGTCATTTCTCATAAGGTTTCTTCGGGATTTTTGAACGCGATACTAAGAAACATACACCCAATAGCAGACTTTTCAACTAAGCTGTAGGCTTAAAACAGATGGAGAAATAATACCTACTATTGAGTTCTTAAATTTTATTTATATTCAAGGCAGAAAAAACTTAATCTTTTGATTTTAGTTTTTGCAAATGCTCAGTTTCTTACCTCGAGCCTTTCATCAGAAATTGAATTTCATTGAATTCTTCCTGGAAGGACGTTGGAAAATACGCTTCAATGATAATGTGAATTCTTTATTCGATTAATATTATTTTGTCTATGGTACCGTAACTAGAATAATCGAATAGGATTGAGGCATTTTGCGAAAACAAAAAAAAACTTTTGAAAATATAATAGACTCGATTTTTTGTGCATTCGCTGGAAAAATATCAGAACTAGAAGCTGTTTGAGGAAAAGAATTTCAGCAAAGTTGATAGTAGCACAGTTCGGTAAAACTTTGGGTTGAGACATCATAAACTTAGCTCACGTCATACTGTTGACTCATTAAATGATCGTATCTAATTTTTAAATTTTATTGAACAGTTTTTTAACACCCCTCATTCTCTCAGAATGACGTTACAGATTCTAGATTCGTTGAATGCTACACATTTCAACGCAATGCCGATATATATATATATATATATATATATATGTATATATACACAGTGTGTTAATAGTATGTAGACAAACTTTAACCATCGAATCCTTCGTCAATTTGAAGGCTAAATGTTAAAACTATATTGCAAATTACGTTTCGGCAACTCTACCCTATGCTACGTAGAACCTCAAGTTTGGTGAACAAAGTTCGGCTATACAAGGTGGTTATCAGACCAGCAATCACTTACGCATGTGCGGCATGGTGTTTTCTTGCCAAAACGCATATGCGTAATCTGCAGGTTGGCAGAACAGAACCTTGCGAACCATGACTAACGCACCATGGTATATAACGAGACCCTTCACAGAGACCTCGACATCCGTTACCTAAGGGACTGCATCAAGCATCAGGCGCAGTTACGTTATAGTCAAGCGGAATCGCACAGCAACCCTCTGTTGCGTGAGTCAGTAGACCACACAAGACAGCGGCTCGTACTGTGATCAAATTCAAATGGTGCAACTTCTAGGTCCAACCAAAATTACGACTTTTGCCACACACAAATTGCTAAGCTAATTTCTGGACTAATTTAAAATAACCGAATACCAGTTAACAATAGCAAGGCATCCCTTTAACCGGCGCACTTCACCCTCTTTGCTCTTCCCCCTTCCTTCTTTTCTTTCGTCTTCCCGTCTCCCTGACTTCGTCTGGTATCTGAGCAACCAGACCTAACAGACCTACTGACCTGCGATACTTTAACAAACAGCGAAGGTCCCACGGACCTCTCCGACGGACAATGA